CCACTGCACTCCAGTCTGGGCAACAGAGTGAGACTCCAACTCAAAATAAATAAATAAAAACAGAGTAAATGATTGAATAGATTGAAAATTGAGGAGAGACACATTTTGCTAAAGACGTCATGTAAATAACAGATGTAGACACTTCCTGGCAAAGGAGATGAAGCTTAATCTCCCCTTTACGCCTTGAGCTGAACTAAGTGACTGGATTTCAGAGAGTATCAAAAGGGAGAAACAGTAACTTCACAGTGGAGACACATGGTAAACAATGACTTACGTGAATGACCAAGGTTAATACCACCAATGATGACCTATGGGTAACACATACTCCCTGCTATGATGTGAGAAAAGGGTACTTCAATTCTGTGGTATTCTTTCCTCAAACCCAAAACTCTAGTTTAACCATGAGAAAACATCAACTAAACCCAAACTGAAGGACTCTGCAAATGACCTGACCAGTGCTCCTCAAAACTGGAAGTTCATGAAAAACAAACAAGGAATAAGGAACAGTTGTAACAGCCTTAGCCACAGGAGGCCAAGGAGGCATGGCAACTGCCTCAATATGCTCAAACTGTTATAACAAAATACCATAGTGTGGCTTACAAACAACAGAATTATATTTCTCACAATTCTGGAGGCTGAGGAGTCTCTAAGATCAAAGCAGATCTGGTGTGTGGTAAGGGCCTGCTTTCTGGTTCATAGATGGTATCTTCTCACCATGTCTTCACATGGCAGAAGGGATTAGCTAGCTCTCTGGGGTCTCTTTTATATGGGAACTAATCCTAAAGGCCCTACCTTCAAATACCATCACACTGGGAATTAGGTTCAACATAGGAATTTTAGAGGGGCATAAAAATTTAGATCATAGCATTCTACCCTTGGTTTCCCCTCCCAAAAAATGGCCTTCTTACATGCAAAAATATGCATTCCATATCTAAATATCTAAATATCCAAATTTGATGAGACTCAAAATATGATTCATCCTGAGGCAAATACCTATCCAGCTGCAAGTATGTGAAATCAAACAAGTTATGTACTACCAAATATAATAGTGAGACAGGCATAGGAGAGACATTTCTAGTCTAAAAGAGAGAAATAAGAAGGAAGAAAGGGATAACAGGTCCCAACCTTAAAACTTGAGAATAATCTCTGATTCAAGGCTCTAACATCCAGGCCCACTGGGGCGGTAGACTTGTCCACAGTTCCTGCTGCAGTTCTGTGATGTACCTACTTCCTCAATGGCTCTGCACCTAGGTCACACACTTGCAGCTCTCCATGGCTAAATTACTCTCAGGTGGCTTTAATAGTCTAGTGTCTTGTGAGCAGCCCTGTCCCTATGGCTCTGTTGGGCATCCGCCTGGTGGGGCAGGGAGGTTATTCTCAGTGGCTGCGCCCCACAGTTTTTTGCCAGGGCTGTGTGGCTCTCCGGGGCATATAGGCCCCACAGTTTTGCTGGGTACAGAACACATAGTACTGAGGACACCAGAGCAAAACTTACAGCAGCCAAAAAGTGCAGTGAAAAAGTGTGGGAAGCAGAGGCAGTGCTGGTCAGTGCACACTAAGGTCCCACTGGTGCCTGTGACTCCTTCTTTGAAATTATTCTGTACCTCCAACCTTGCATCTGGGCCTACGATGGTAGTGGCAGTCACAATGAACTCTAAAATGCCTTCAGGATTTGGGGTCTTTCTTCAACTGTCTTGATGAACAGCACCTAGCTGATCCAGACTAAACTCCTTGGTCACATGGCTGCATCATTGGTGCTCTCTCCCAAGTATGTTTTCCTACTTTTTACAATGTACCCAGGTTGAAGAGTTCTGCTTCTTTTTTTTTTTCCAAACTTATTTTAGATTTAGGGAATACAATGGTATGTTTGTTTTCATGGGCATACTGTTGGTGATTGAGCTTCAGGTGGCCCCATTCCCCAAATAGTGAACAGTATACCCAATAGGTGGCTTCTGAATTCTTGCCTCTCCACCCTCCCCACTTAGTCATGGTGTCTATTATTTCCATTTTTATGTCCATTTAGTTCCCAAAAATAAGTAAGACTACACAGTGTTTAACTTTCTATTTCTGAGTTAGTTAGTTCACCTAGAATGATGTCTTCCAGCTCTATCTATGTTGCTGCAAAGGACAAGATTTCATTCTTCTTATGGCTGCAGAGTAGTGTGTGTATGTGTGTGTGTGAAATCACATTTTCTTTATTCAATCAATCATTCATGGACACTTGGGTTGGTTCCACAACTGTGCTATTGTGAACAGTGTTGCAAAGAACACATGAGTAACAGTATCTTTTTTTGTACATTGCTTTTTTCCCCTTTGGCTAGATAGCCAGTAGTGGGATTGTTGGGTCAAATGCTAGTTCTATTTTTAGTTCTTTGAGAAATCTCTATACTGTTTTCCACAGAGGATGAGCTAGTTTACATTCCCACCAACAGTGTATGAGTGTTCCCTTTTCTCCACATCCATGCCAACATCTGTTGTTCCTTGAATTTGTAACAGTCATTCTGACTAGCATAAGATGATATCTCACTGTGGTTTTAATTTGTACTTTACTGAAGAAATACAAGGTCTAGGAGTCTACAGGAGAAGTCTTTAGGGGTTTCTGGATATACAATCATGTCATCAACAAATGGAGATAGTGTGACTTCCTCCTGACTGACTTGGATATCTTGTATTACTTTCTCTTGCCTGACAGTTCTTGCTAGAACTAGCAGTACTACATTGAATAGGAGTGGTGGCAGTGAATATCCATGTCTTATTCCAGTTCTGAGGGATAATATTTTCAACTTTTCTCTATGAAGTATGACGTTAGCTGTAGGTCTGTCATACATGGCTCTTATTATTTTGAGATATCTTCCTTCAACTACTAGTTTGTTGAGAGTTTTTATCATGAAGAGATATTAGGTTTTATCAAATGCCTTTTCTGCATCTACTGAGATGATCATATGGCTTTTGTTTCTTTTCCTATGGTGAATTACACTTATTGATTTGCAGATACTGAAACATCCTTGCATTCCTTGAGTAAAACTCACCATATCTTACTGGATTATCTTTTTGATGTGCTGTTGAATTTCGTTTGCTAGCATTTTGGCAAGGATTTTTGCATCTACATTCATCAAGGACATTGGCCTGTAGATTTTTGCTGTGTCCTTGCCTGACTTCAGTATCAAAATGATACTAGTTTCATAAAATGAGTGAGAGAAGAGATCCTCCTCCTTGATTTTTTGGAATAGTTTAAGTAAGGTTGGTAATAGTTCTTCTTTGCCTGTCTGATAAAATTTGGCTGTGGATCCATTTGGCTCTAGGTTTTCTTTTGCTGGACAATTTTTTATAACTGATTTGATTTCAATGTTTGTTATTGCTCTACTCAGTTTGTTTCTTATTCGTTCAGCCTGGGGAGTTTGTAAGTTTCCAGGAATTTATTTGTTTCTTCTAGGTTTACAACTTGTTGCCACAGAAGTGTTCATAGTAGTCTTTAATAATCTTTGGAATTTCTGTGGTATCAATTGGAATTTCACCTCTATCATTTCAGATTTTATTTTAATCTTCTCTCTTTTTTTCATGGTTAATCCAGCTAGCAGTCTTGTCAAGTTTGTTTATTTTGAAGAATCAACTTTTTTATTCATAGATCCTTTATATCTTTTTTTGGTCTCAATCCCATACAATTTTGCTGTAATCTTTATTATTTCTTTCTTATGCTAGCTTTGGGTTTAGATTGTTCTTTTTTTCCCTAGTTCCTTGAGATGCGAGGTTAAGTTGTTGATTACAGAACTTTCATTTTCATGTAGGGCATTTAATGCTAAAATCATTCCTCTTAGCATTATTTTTTATGTATCCCAGAAGTTTTGGTAAGTTGTGTCTCTATTTTCATTTATTTCAATGACCTTTTAAAATTTCTGTCCTCAGCCTACAGACTGGGAAAAAATATTCACCAACACCAGGTCTGACAAAGGCTTAACATCCTGGATCTACAAGGAACTCAAACGTGCTGAAAAGAAAAAAACAAACAACCCCATTATCAAATGGGCAAAAGGTATGAACAGACACTTCACAAAAGAAGACATTCGAGCAGCCAACAAACACATGAAGAAATGCTCAACCTCTCTAATCATCAGGGAGATGCAAATCAAAACCACACTGAGATACTACCTAACTCCAGTCAGAATGGCAATTATCAACAACTCAAAAAATAACAGCTGCTGGAGAGGGTGTGGCAAAAAGGGAACACTTCTACACTGTTGGTGGGAGTGTAAACTAGTGCA